AAACGGACTCAAATTTATCTGTAATTCATCTTTTTTTGATTTATAAAGCACTAATAACAATCTACGGAAGCATTTTTGTCTTTTGCATGCCTTAAAGTTATTGATAATTTATGGCGTTACCTCAAGCATAATGTGAGGCCCTGTGAACTTGCCGCTAAAATTTGACCTCTAGACAGGTTGCGTTGAGAGCTGTCTTGTTTGACCGTTTTAGTAGCCCAAATTTTTTATTGCATTTTATCAAAGGCAAGACATTACTTTTCGACCTGACAATATTTTGGAAGCATTAGTCCATGTAGAAATAGGGAAAATTTTGCTCTTAATTTTAAGCATTTTTTACCGTCAAGAAAATACCCCAAACTCAAAAATTCACAAAATATTCAGATTTGCATTGATTTCAACTTATTTATTTTGGTTGTGTTGTTTATTGTCCTGGCTTTAAGTGGAGCATATTTATTTTTTATTTAATTCAAAAAGGAATATTTTTTCGATTTTTTCCCTAAGTATACTTTTGCCTTTGAAAAAGCCGCCAGTGAGCCATAAGACACAAAATGTCAAATATCTCCGAAAAAAATAAAAGATACAACTTTTTACTATTTTTCCCAGATTCGGCACCCATAAAGGAATCTTCTGGAATAGAAAACAAAAATTATATTTTTTCAATTTTTTCCAACCATAGTTGGTATTTTCAGACAGCCTCTCTTAAAACTGTTGTTCATCCACGAGACGCAGCCAATAAACGATAACAACGATATGCTCATATCAATATCCACTGACATCTATCCATAGGTGCCATTGGAATACAGAACAAGAATATCATTTCTGATTACTATATGACCGCTTCAAGAAACTATAGCAACGCTAAGAAAGCAAGACTTAATGGTCGTGAGTGTTGGTGGATACAGTGTTGGACGGGCAAACCGTGCAATAAGGAGTGGTTGCAAATCAATGTGGGAAAGATTGCAAAGGTAATTCCATGCATGTTCGGAGTTTAATGTGGGGTCGAAGTTAAACCTTGTTCCCAGGTCCCTATCACTTCATTTATTTATGTTCCAGTGACTCAACTGTTCCCTGAGATTGCCCTCATGCATTTTTTTTTGTATTTTTTTTTAAGTCGCAGTTTAACAATCCCTAGGGACCCATAATCCAGAGTTCCAAGGTTCGATCCCGACTCGGGCAAGTCTGAAAAATTCTCTCGTATACTCTTTCTTTCTTTCTTTTTAACTGGAATATAGGTGTCCTATTCATATTAGATTTTTATCGTATCAATTTGTCTTATTAATATTTACGAGACGCTTGTTAAATTTTAGAAATAAGATGGCGTCGAACAGAGGATGGCGGGTTCGAATCTCGTCCCCAGCACTTTTTTTTTCCCCTTTTTTGATATACTATAGTTTTTTTTAGTTATCTTGATTTTCTGTAGATTTTGTTAAATAATTGTTTTCGAGTCATTATTTTGATTTTACACACAAAATATTATAATCGAATAGCGTCGAACTTAGGATCGCGGCCTTGATTCTCGATTCCGTTTTTTATTTTTTTTTGAAATGAAGTTGTTACAGTCATGTTGATTTTTTGTGTGTAGATATTCGTTTAACAATTTTTTTTTGCCATTATTTCGATTTTTTCACAGATTTATCGTACTCGAATGGCGTCGAACCTAGGATCGCGGGTCAGATTCTGGACTCGATCACTTCTAAGCGATTCTTTTTTATTTCCCTCTTTTTTTACTTAAATATGCTTATTCCTATTTTTCCAGTAGATATTTGTTTTGCATAGTTTACACGCAAAATCATACTTGAATAGCGGCGTTAAACTGAAGATCTCGGGTTCGATTCTCGACTCGGGCAACTTCTAAACCTTTTTTCTTTCTTTCTTTCTTTAACTTTAAAATATACTCGTTCTTTTTTTCCCAAAAATCATTTTATGCAAAGCAAACTTTCATCTTATAAATCTCTGGGGATAGTGCGAATGCAATTTGAATGCTAAATTTTCGCTGCAATGATAAAAATGTAAAAAAATATCATGTGAAAAGATAATACACAAAATATATTAATCGATCACGGCGCTGGTAAAAAAAAATATTTCACAGCAAAACTGGACACGGTATGTTCCACGAAGTGGTTCTTCTTGTTCTGGTTTCAGTGATATGTACTATTATATTAGTCAGCAAATAAAAACTAATACAAGAGTTATTACTAATTCTTTGAATATGTCTCGCGATACAAGTGCGTCAAATGTTATTGACATTATAAAGACGTTTAAAACTTGATATTGAATATTCTTGTAAAATAATTACAAATTCGATATATAGAAATGATAATGCTGGCACTGCCTTTATGTCTTTACAACTGAAAAAGGTGACTGTGTAGCCATTACATATGTTTTTGGATTCGGTCTCACTGCCCAAAACATCCCTTGAGAACCTTGGCATATAATGAACAAAAATGATGAGCCAGATTGGTTTTATAATAATATAGGCAATGGAGCAGGGTCTGAATGGGGTTAACCGACTAGCGACAAATGGACAAAGTAACTACTGACTAGCGACAAATTTGAAAAAAATTTGCTGACTACCGACATTAACAAATTTACTGACTGGCGACATTTTCCAATATTCAAAGATGTTAGCTCCGTGAACACAAGCTTTTTTTATTTTCAAGCAACTACATTCCAAATTTTCCTCGGAAAAAATAAATTTTGCTTCGGATTGGCTTCTTGAAGTTGTGATGAGCCACTCTAAAACTTTGAGGGGCATTCAATTGACCAATCAAGACTCAAGGAATCAATTGTTGGCATTTTAGACAGAATTCTATTGGTATAAAGCACCGTTTTAGATGCATTTAAACTTAATGTTTATCAACTTTTTTAAATAACCGACTAGCGACAAATGCCTAGAATTTTAACTGACTAGCGACAAATGCTTGAAATTTTAACTGACTACCGACATTGAGACCCCCTATTAAGACCCTGATGGAGAAATCTTTAGTTTGTTGAACATCAATATAGCTACTGTGACGTCATGTTTGAAGTTTTTATTACCTTGAATCAACAGATTATTGGTATTGCCACGCAAGGCCAATCTTATGATTCTGGCTCATACTTCTACTCGACAGAAAAGTATAATCTTTCCTACAGCAATGAAAGCAAATTCACCTTTTACAGCAAGGGCCAAGTCTTTCAAGGGAACACTGACGGAAATACAATTGTTTATCACAACCTTGCGCCGGCAATTACAGCAAGATATGTACGAATTCATCCCATGAAAGACAATGACAAGTCTGGTGCCATAGCACTGAGAATGGAGCTTTACGAAAGCAAAGAAGATGAAGGTTAGAATACTTAGTACTTATGTATTATCATCATTGCTCGGTTGGTCATTTACCAGTGGGAACTCCCTTATAAAAGGGGGCTGGGTCATAGTCGTCCATTTCGTCTCGATGAAGTCGGTACTTTAACCACTCTGAGTGCTATGTAATGACAGGAATAGTTCTAAGAAAAGAGCGTTGGATGATGTCATGTCTGTCGTACAACTTCCATATATTGTTGTGACTGTACACGGCCCTGATGTATACACATAGAAGACTGTCATGTCCCTATTAATATGTGAAGAAGGACTTAGAATACTTCGAAGACTTAAACTTAAACTGAAAAGAAATATTTTTAAGGACGCGGATTAAGATTCTAACGAGCGCTATGCTTTTACTTGAATCTATATTTCAACTACACCTAACCATTGAACCATGAGCTCAATAGATGAGGTGACGGTTTTGTCCGCCATTTTGGACCGGTAGGCATAGTGTCGCAAAATAACAAGGAATGACCGGGAAATCGATGTCAAATAATTCTCGCTGAATTCAAATTCAGAAAGAATTATCAATTGCAAACGTTAGATACTACAAAAAGGAGCTGACTGGCCAAATTTGAAGGACGTGCTTGGTCTAGGGAGCGAGAAAATTTATTTTTAGTTCTCAATACATTTCTTTGTATTTTTCACGCGCGTCACGCACTGATGACCCCGGAAATTATAACGAAATGTATTGAAATTACAAAGAAATGTATGGAGAACTAAAAATGAGTTTACTCGCTCTCTAGATCAAGTACGCCTTTCAAATTTGGCCAGTTAACTCCTTTTTGCAGTATCTAACGTTTGCAAATGATAATTCTTTCTGAATTTGAATTCAGCGAGAATTATTTGACATCGATTTCCCGGTCATTCCTTGTTATTTTGCGACACTATGCCTACCGGTCCAAGATGGCGGACAAAACCGTCACCTCATCTATTCGCTTTAGTGAAACTGAGTTTTTGTGATATTTATGCAAAAAGGCATTCATGAATAACCATGTGTAGGTAAATAAGATTGAATTCAGAATTAATAAACCATCTATAGGGCGATGAGAGCCTTCTGCGTGTACACGAGAGCCATGCATATGGACATCCATATATGGAAGTCGTACGACAGACTCTACTCATCACGTCACTCAATGCGGATAGGGAAAGTGCGGATGTCATTTCTGAATATTTATGTAAAGCCACGGTTTTTAGCATCATATTTAATTTGTTTTTATGTGTGATGCGTAATGTAAGAATGATTGATTTTCTTCACCAGGAGTATGTTCGTATGCACTTGGTATGCAAAGTAGAATAATTAAAGACAGTCAGGTCACAGCCTCATCTTCATWTTCTAAATATAMACCATCAGAAGCGAGACTKGACAATATTAACCGGGGATGGATCGCGCAMYCAACTAACAAACACCAATGGCTTGARATCGACTTGTTTAAAGTGAAAATGATGAACGGAATCGCCACACAGGGTAACCAAGATTATTWTTACTKCTACGTGAAAGAATACCGTCTTGAATACAGAAATTCCACCACCAACGCCCTCAATAAATACACCCTGAGCAGTCAGCCAGTGAAATTCAAAGGTAACTCTGACCACACAAGCATCGTCTACAATGCCCTTCATAACCCAATACTAGCCCAAATAGTTCGTATTGTACCAATGGCATGGTACAGATGTATCGCTATGAGGGTTGAGCTGTACGGATGCCCATATATGGGATCCTACCATGATGGGTCAAAGTAGCATGTGATCAGAACTATGTATACACTCAGCATCGCAAATGCATGTTCATGGTATTTTTTTCAACTAAAACTAGCCTAAAGCATTAAGGCTTTGTTGATCTAAGATTGAAACTCTCAATTTAAGCCTTGTTTGATTGTTTTATAAAAGATAGTGAAAGAAAGTGCCAAATAATAGAGAAGAGAACAGTATGAGCTGTTTTCAGTCCAAACAGAAACACGTATGATTTTAATTGTCATACAACATATTTAAATGATTAGAGAATGAAATAATAGCTTGGTAAACATACATATGCCTTGAATTAGAAACACTCTTTTCTCGGTATTCGGTTTCAATGCAAACTTTAAAACTTTCAGTTTTGGTTCAAAAAAACTTACTAATGGAAGAAAGCGGCGTCATTCTAGATGGACGGTACTTTATATAGTTTTAGATTGGCTGACGACCGTGTTTACTTCAGATAGCGGGAAGAGGGTCTCATTTGTTCATTTTTTCGGCGAATTATATTATGCCATTGTGAAGTACAACAACTACCAGAATGCTTTGACAACTTGTTGCTTTTATAAAATTAGCCCACATGGATTAAAAATCTGAATATCAATGAAATACGCAAGGTATTCTGGTAGTTACTTTTTGCAGTAAAGTTACTCTTTTATGTCTATTTTTGAACTCAGAATAGCAAATGATCCATGCTATTAATTGAGATACATCCATAAATTTTCGCGCATTTCACTAAAGATTAGAAAGATAATGTATATCAATGTGAATTCTTATATAAGGTCGTACTATCGGAAGCACAATGACATAAATTATATACGGATATTGTACGATTAGCTTATGAGTATAGATTATCAATGTACATTCTTAAATATATAGTTCTGTAATATTGAACGTCTAATGACATACAATGCCTATCGCACGATTAGTTTATGAGTATAACCTATCAATATGAATTCCTATATAGTGTTGTAATATGTGCAATGATATACATTGTTGATATCGAAAGTACAGGAGAAGCCGACGGGGTCAGTTCTTCTAAATAACTGTTCTTCTACGAATTTTTTCCTGGTTAAGGATTTTGAGATACATTGTTAACAACTTCAAAAGCAAATGTTGCGACTTTTCTTCTTTCTGGGTAATTTGAGAAAATGCGACTAGCCAATCAGCGCAAAGCTGACAAGCTTATGTTGTAAACATAACCCTCCGACGGGAGGAATTTGCACAACAAAACTCGACCCAGTGGAGTAGGCTGCCTGTCATTTTATTCTATCCGAAAAATCGAAGCTAAAACGCAAAGAGAAATTGAAAATCTTTATAAAATAGCTTTTAAATGTCAATCAAATATTTATCGTTATAGAAATAGAATTTTATCTTAAAAATGAAATACCTAATATTTTTTTCTTTAATACCACGAGACTCCCCTCCCTGATAAAAATAATTGTTCTGTGTTCTACGCGGGTTCTCCATTGCATGCGAAGCAATGGCCGACTCCACGAAGACTTCAGAAGGTCGTCTGAAGCGATGTTCAAGTACAAAGTATCTTAGGAGGAACCATTTCAAATCCTTTTTCTTAGCTCAATTGTTTCCTCTAAGCTTTGAGGTATCTACAACATCACTGGAAGAGCTAGAGCAGCTTAGTTAGGTCCACGTATTCGTTTGTTATAGTTTGTGGTACAAACAACTGTCGTAGTTCATCCTTTGTCGCATTTTCGGCAATGAGCCGCAAGCGTGCTCGACGATTTGACGTTATGTAACAGGTCAGTTACACATTTACTAGCTTTGAACTTACTATACAACGAGAGCTAGAACGATGACTGGGGTTTTTCGTGTAATGGCTTGGTAGCGACTGTTTATGTTGAAACGACTCAAAACAAAATTCCATCGTGAAAAAATATCGACTAAATTCCCTTCTGAAAAACACGTGCATGTGTATTTAAGGTGGAAAATGTTTCATATGAGCATTCAATTCTCAGTAAAGGTTTAATCCTATAATCATTTTGTTTAGTTATGTAAATAAATTTAACACGACTTGTACTGTTTATCTGAGTGGAAGGAGAGCTGCGGGTTTTCCCTTTCCTTTATCTACATTTTCAAATATGACCGCTTAACAAAAATGCACGGGCTCACTGGCTTACAACCTTGGCGAATTCATATGCAGGCCTGGTCGCAAATCAATCACCCAGTTAGAATACTTTTTTGTTCCTGACAAACGTTTTTATGGTCAATAACGGCTATATTTTTTTAATTAACTTAGAAATTTTTCATTTTCCTGGCAAAAGTTCTTAGAAAGTATTCCTTGCCTGGATAGTTCTTTTTCCTGAATTTCTCGCTGCCAACAAGTTGGCTGGGACATAAGAACAGATATATTTCTCCCATGCAGAAACCTGTCGATATCCCCTAATCGTATACGATTAGTTTATGAGTATAGATTATCAATGTAAATTCTTAAATATATAGTGCTGTAATATCGTATGTGTAATAATATACAATGCCTATCGTACGATTAGTTTATGAGTATAAACTATAGGAATTCCCAGTATATAGTTCTGTAATATTGCACGTGTAATGACATACAATGCCTATCGTACGATTAGTTTATGAGTATAAACTATAGGAATTCCCAGTATATAGTKYTGTAATATTGCACGTGTAATGACATACAATGCCTATCGTACGATTAGTTTATGAGTATAAACTATCAATAGGAATTCCTATATAGTGTTGTAATATTGCATGTGTATAATTTACATTGGAGATATCATACGATTAGAATATGAGTATAGATTATATACTTAGACGGCTGTAACATTAGACGTGTAAAGATATAYATTTGATCRGACTATTAAATWAGRAGCCGAATTATTGYTCATTCATCATATCATAAATCATCTTTGACAACWTTTTTAAAATAGCTAYATGCTCTGTRATGTAAACAGKCGCTTTTGTAGTATCCTCTCGCAGCCGTTATGAGGCTCGTTGCCAGTTATTCCATAGCAGACTTTGCTTTATGGTCACGTGACCTTGAAAATTACCTGGAATGTAATTGATGGTTGGTGACACTGACTTCATAATTAATATAAATATTCTTGTATCATTGTAAGGACTATAATGTCAAAAGTGATTGAGCAATGCAAGCAAACAAATAAACAAAACAAGCGAGTCTATTGTTTTGAAAGAACTCCTCATTAATCAACAATATAATAAAATTCCAGGGTATATATAATATCAAAGAGGCAAGATTTTGCTTTTGTTTCGAGTTTCGTGCTACGCACTCATCAGACAGTATTGATGACACGTGAGAGGTTTAATTCATGAAGTATCTGCCAGAAGGGAAAGTAATTTATTGATTTGCTTAAAGGTTCAAGCGTATGGACTTACTCAAACAAGGCTTTCCTGTTCACACTGAACAATACATATGGCTACTATCCTATCAAGGTACCTCTTGTAGGATATCAATCACAAAATGCTATATATAGATTTAGTAGCTATGTCCCTACATTCGGCGCTGGACATGGCTTGTGCATATCTAACCATGCATCAAGTAACCATAATTGTTATTTTAAAGTGCACTCATACGACCCCCCGCCTACCTGCTGCGCTCACAAGGGTTACTGCTCGTTCTACACAGGCCAATTCCAAACATGGGCACCCTGTGATCCCCCCTGCATACGCCCCTTGAACGGTAAGGACTATGGTATAAAAACCCAAAGCGCCGGTTTATTAACTCAAAAAGCTCAATCAAATAGTTCGAAATATTTTTAAAATTCTTACCATTTGGCCCAGCAAATCAGAGGGCAACAACAAACGCCAAATGTATCTCTCGCTGCGATGATGCTACTTCAATTCGGAAATTTTAGCAAGATTTTCATCTGCCAGGGATACATAACAGAATCCAACATCACATAATAAAGTCGCGTGCTGATTGGTCCGAGATCCAACGTCCAAAATCCAACGCTTTCAAAGCTGAATTCAATGTCAAATCAGGGATCAAGCGCGATTGATTTTGTCGTATTCCTTTTTAATTTTTTGACAAATAAAAATTTAAAGTAACAAGAATAAAAGCTCTAGAGATACCCAAAATGATATTCAAGCTTTGTTACAAGATTGCTTTTCTATTAAAACGACCTTTGTTGGCGGATTGCAAAGCTGAATTCAATAAAAAATCAAGGCCGCGTTTTTTTTTTCTTTTCATTTATCCACAATAGTTATTTCACGAAAACAGACGTTTTACTCTTTAGTTATCTTACAAATTCTTAGCACTAGTAAATATTTACAATTCTGCTTGGTTTGCCTGATAAAGTTAGAAAAAAAGTAGACTTCTGCTCTTAAACAGTTCCTTGCATCTCTGAAAATTGGTCTGGGATAGGGAAAGGGTTATGAGGGTTGTGCGGCACACCCTCACCCAAGTTGGGTAGGTAGTACCACCCCGGGTGAATAGGTCTGCAATAGATATTTGTATTTTGAAATTTCGAATTTATAAAGCATTTTTGTTAACATGTCTCATCATAGTTAACTATGGTCTGATACTATGCTGACTATGGCCTGTGATCGTATCTGCTAGGCCACGCTTGTACCTTTGTACCTTTAGTCTGGGGCAGGTTATGTAAAATCACAAAAAAATTCTTTAATTCAGTATCTGTATTTGTATTCCTTTCATGTTGTGTCTCATCTACATCTGACAGCTTCTTCTCAATGTCATCAAAAATATTTTCTTTGTTGGCATCGTCAAAAAGTGCCTGAGTGTAGTGCTTTTGCTGCCTCCTGACGGTACGCTGCTACCCATCGTTGTATTCTCCTCTGCCCTTTTTTCACTGGGAAAGTGATAAAATTCTATAGAATCTCTCCTACTGTTCCTCTCCAGTTCAGGATATCTGAAGTAATTTTTACAGGTGCCATATGCACACAGTTTTGTAGTAAACCATCGTACTAGTAAGTTAAATCTCGCAAAACTCCGCCAACTCTATCGCGCGAACTGTCGGAACTTTCGCGGCTTGTTTACGTTTTGG